AGAAAAAATGCTACTATTTTCTCACCATTGGTTTGATTTCAGTGTAACCAAATGAACCTGTAACAGTTTCAAACTAAAGACCTCTAAGAATGGAGTCTTTGCCAAAATATGTTCTGCTTTTTAACACTTTTTGAGAAGAGACCAAAAGGAGCTTTATCTTCAAACTAACACAACCATAAATAAACGGCAAAAGTCAGACAAAACTGATCCTCCCCAAACCAAAAACTAAGACATTAAGAGCATGAAACATGCCTTACAAAAGGAAAAAATAAAAGCTTCTCTGTTCTGATGAAAGAGAAACACTTTGAGAACATTCAATGAACCCAAACCAAACACACAAAATAAGAGAAGACTTCTTGTGATTATAATATTAGGTCAGTTTACTTAGAAGGTGATCAACCTCAACTGATGAAAGAACACACAAAAATACAAAAGAAAGAAAGATTACCGACTTTTTCTGTAATGGTCACCCACTATGGCTTCGAGACTAAGTCACGTTTTACAAAATATAAACATTCTTTAATCCAAAAACAGGTCCCACACTTATCTCAGTTTATCATCTTGTAAATTTGTAAAAGTGACTATGATTATAATATAGAACACGCAAAATCAAAACATAATAATATATTTATTCATAAGTCTTCATCAAATCGTAACATCATTACAAGATGAAATCTTGAATCTTGTATCATCATTACAAAATAAATGGTAACATAAAGAAACATGCAAGTAGAACTCTTTACCTTGTGAATGTTGTGTCTTCTTCCTCAAGGCAATGTGATTCCAAGAAAGCACTCCAAAGCTCTCTCTGATAATTGACACAAACCCACATAATCAATCACGAATCAACAACTATTTGCAATGATTGTCTACTTGATCAGTGTTTAATAATGACACAAACAAACAAAAAAAACTGATTTTTGAAAAAGGAAAGTACTAACACGATATAGTAACAAAGAGGGTTAGAAAAAATTAAAGATGACACAACAATGTGAAGGAGATTGGAGTTAGATCTTTGGGAAGAAAAAAAAAAAACTTAAGAAATCGAAAGATAAGAACCCTAAAACTTATGAAATCTCTATGGAGGTCCCAAAGCAGATTCTCTTTTTATTCGCCGGTTTCTCTGTTCTGTCTCCATTTGGGCGAGAGCTTTAGGATGACAAACGCCTGGTAAATGACCGTTTTACCCCTGGAACTTTTATTGGGAATCTTAAACGCCACGTGGACCTCTATTTTTACTATAGGATTGGAGAGCTCAGAGCCCAATAGCCAAGGACCTTCACTATTGAAATTTTTTGACCAATTAAGGATTGAAAACCAAAGAGATATTGATAAACCGTTACAGGAAAAGACTTGAGAGATATTTATATCATCACGAGTACTTAATTGATGTATAGATAGATCTGCCAAATGATATATTAGAGAATATTGTATATAGGCTTCCAACAAAATCCGTGAGATCAATCCGGTCTACTTGTAGAAGATTGAACTCAGTATCCAAAAACCAAGATTTTGCTAAAGTGTTAGTGGCAAGGTAAGAGTTAACTCTAGAGTTCATCACATGAACCTAGTCATTCCTGCTTCACATCTTAATACTTTAGCAAAATTCTGATTTTTGTATAGTGAGTAATCTCTTACAAGTATACCGGATTTATATCAGAGATTTCATTGAAAGTCTATAGAGAATATTCTGACATTGTCGTCGTTCTTCTACATTTCTAAAACCAACCCATTTCAGAGACTGCGATATGGTTTTTTTCTTTTCTTTAGGTTTAACGTGAAATGCTGCATAAGGGTTTAAATAGAGAGAAAAAAAAAACCTAATTGCTGCATTAGGTTTAATGTAAAATATGGTAGTTTACGATTTGAGGATATTCTCAAAGAATCCTTTTCAAATCTCACATTAAATTTGTTAATATCTAAAGGAAACGGAGAATTCCACAAAAGGCGGTACCGTTAAAATGTCCAAACCCAGCTTATACATTTTGGGTCTAAATAGCCCAGTAAGATTCATTCATATATATACAAGACAAAAACTCACATTGATTTTTTTTTTTATTATTATTCTTTCTTGCTGAAAAAGGAATTTATTTATTCATGCAATTAAAAGAAGAGATGAATTGTTGTGGTATACATATAACTAGATGATTTCCCGCACCGTATGCGGGATCAAATATATTTTGTAAGAATAAAATTATAATTTGTTATTATTAATTTATGATATTGATGTGGA